GTCAGGGTGAGCTTGGTTGTCGGTCGGAGAGAAAGGAAGAAAACGAGAGGGATCTGCTACAACGCGTTTGACAAAAGCAGCGGCAACGTAGATACCAAGGGCTGGGAGCCTCCAGAAGAAAGCAATTCAGCGCTTACGGTCACGGCCCCAACCCCAAAGACAACGTCGCAATGTCGACCCACGAAATCAAAACATGGGGATCATCGGCCTGCGGCTAAACAGTAACAAAAACGCTCCAGGCAAAGGTCGGTTCTTTCCCCCTCCAGCCACACGTACTCCTCCTCCTACTACTGCCAGGCCATGTACCGGGCAGGAATTCCTACCGTTTTTGTTAACGAGCGAACCCCCAATCTTGCAGTCCTGTGAACGGAAGGATCGAAGAGCGGCCCGACCATGCTGTATGTCCTCCCCAAAACCAAAACGAAAAAAAAAAAACTCCCGGTATAAATAGTTCGTGCTGTTCGATGATACCCTCTTGGCACGCCAAACACAAACACACACACACACGCACACACACTTGTCATCGTGTCTCATTTGCGACACCCCCATGGTCCATGGCGCACGCACCTTGGCATTGACGTTGGTCACCACGCAGCCGATGCCCCTGGCGGCGTTGAGCGCCAGGTTCATGTTCTCGATCTTCTGGAATATGGATAGCTTTGGCCTCTTCTCCGACACGACGTTCATCGCCCTTCATGTTCATGTTCATACCCGACGTGACCCCCCCATCCCATCCCACAGCCATCGACAGTCGTTCGCGTGCGTCATAGTAATCAAGAACGACAACATCAACGCAGCGCCGTGTGGGTCAGGAAACGCCATGTTAGTTACATCACATCAGTCAAAGAACGACAAGATCGCACTAGTCAAGAACGACAATATCACATTAGTCAAGAATGACAAGATCGCATTAGTCAAGAACGACAAGATCACATTAGTCAAGAATGACAAGATCACCTTAGTCAAGAACGACAATATCACATTAGTCAAGAACGACAATATCACATTAGTCAAGAACGACAATATCATTTTAGTCAAGAATGACAATATCACATTAGTCAAGAATCAAGATCACGCTAGTCAAGAATGACAAGATCACATTAGTCAAGAACGACAAGATCACATTAGTCAAGAATGACAAGATCACCTTAGTCAAGAACGACAAGATCACATTAGTCAAGAACGACAAGATCACATTAGTCAAGAATGACAAGATCACAATAGTCAAGAATAACAAGATCAACGCAGCATTGCGTGTTCCGTGTATTTCAGGAATAGCCATGTTGGCATGTTACTTATCTGGTTTCGTCCAACAGTTTACACTCTCAACCCACAGAGTCATGCCACAAAATAAGGTATTTGTCTTCAAAGTGTTCTTTCTTTCTCCCCCCCGACAAGAAAGACATGCCACCTGGGCACCTTTCGTGTCTTCTATCGTTGATCCGGAGATTTCGCCATTCAGGTTCACAACAGGGGTCATAGCGTGACGTGACAACACCAAACTTATAAAAATTAAAAATTACCCGTACTGCCCCTTGCATTGGGACTTGGATACAGGCAAGTGACGCCTCCCAAGCGAATGACGCGAATGAATAAACACGACAGCCTCCAAAAAAAAAACACACACACACAAAGGTAGTTGTTTCTGTCTGTGTCGCCTTAGGCGCCTGACTGCTTGCCAAGTTAGCTGGTTTGAACAAAATGATGCCGTTCGTGAAAAGAAACCGTAGGCATTCGTCTGAGCACCGGGGGAATGCAGAGTCATCCCTCCGCCGCCGCACACCTTAGCATGTCGTACAAAAGCTACATGAAACGGGTGGCCCCGTGCCACGGTGACACGCACACCGCATTGCTCCCCCCTCGCTCGCGAACCCCGAAAACCCGGCCCAACCCATAAAAAAGCCACATAAAACCCAGTATAAAAGTCACATTTCCAGAAAAAAAGAACGCAAGAAAAATCTCCGCAATCCAACGGACATGAAGGTTTCTTGAACTAAATCAACACGTGCACACGTGCATGATCTCCCCTTTGGATGGATGTACGGAGAATTGACCCCCGTCAATGTGACTACAATACTATTAATAGGACTCGCTGACCTGGCGTCAATGGTGTCGAATTCAGCGAGGTTGATGAGCTTGCACAGGATGAGCCCGTCCGATGTCTGTGTGAAGAGGTCTTCGGAGAGAGGGTCCATCGGCAGCCGCGGTCCAACCACCTGGAACAACAAAACACATCAACACATGCACGTCTAATGACCTTTGACCTTTCAAGATATCGCTAAAAAGCGTCGCTTGTCTTCTTCCTCCCCCTGTGATACTCGTCAGGGCCCTCCATAGCTCCACACTACACGAACCACGCAGCAGTTCCACGCCTATGCTGATGCTAAACTGGTTTCCGTTCGCCGGTAGCTCGTTCGTCGCGTGGCACACCGCGAAAAAGGAGGGAGAAAGCCAGGAGTTTTTCCTCTACTTCGTGGCAACGACCCGACAATCACGACATCGGCATTACAGCAGTAGAGTAGCAGTAACGTGACTGGCGCCTTCTCGGGAACGTGAGCCCGTGAGCCAGCCCGCACACCAACAACGAACCAACCACCAAAATGACGAGATCACCCAAGGCTAGACTCCATTTCTTCCAACAGTGTACCCGTTTTTTGTGGGAGTCTAATTTCTTTTCTCCCTGGCCGGCAAGTGGAAAGTCCAGAGGTGTCACAAGAGAAGACGTCGCCTGGGATACCGGTTCAGCTTGTGCCGTCTTTGCACTTCCCATCAATACATACCCCCACCAACCCCCACCCGGCCGCCGACCCCCCTTCGCGTTCCCCAGCATGGAAAAGCGCCGCTTCAAACCAGCCAGCCGGCAGCAGACCAGACCAGTCCTCACCCAAACAGAAAAGGGTTTGTCGTTTTCCTTCCCATCGAAGCTCCGATGGCTAAATCTACGTCAAAATGAGACCCCCCAGAACGGAAAACGTTGCAAGGCGGTACTCCTTCCGCGGAACGTACGTATGGTGGATACCGGACTATTGTATCATACATAATACGGAAGAGACCCACACGACGCGGTCGTGGAGGCGAACGGGCGAAACACCTCCACACAAAACACCAACAGCAGCAGCGGTACTGTACCGTACAAAAAGCAGACGAGAGAGAACAAGACAAAAAAATCCCGTCTCTTCGAACCCCGCCCTCTCTCGTTCGCCTCCTCTCTTTCGCCCTGCTGCTTTTGGCACTCACAGGATCGGCTGCGAGACAGTTGTTGATGTGCTCCGTAAAGGCCATCCGCTCGTCGTCCGAGTACGAGTGGTACGCCATACCCCCAGAGTGCTGTACGTCAAGACACACATAAAAGAGAAATCATTTTTACAGCAAAGACGTAGGAGGTGATCAGGGGGCAGCGAGCGCAGCATGTTGCGGTCTCTCTCAGCAGCCATTCGGAGGTTAGCGGAAAGAGAATGACCCGTGGTGTGAGAGAGAAAAAATACGAGGAGAACAAACAACACCCTTTGACTTCAAGAAGGAAACAAACAACACCACAGCTGCACAACATGCGGCAGAGAGAGAGAGAGAAGAGAGAGCAAGTGGCGCGCACAAAAGGAACCCATTTACCGTCAGCAGAAAACACACCACACTCCACACCCCCGAACACAACATCACGCGCCCCGGAGTGGGCCAGCAAGGACCCCCCCCTGTCCCCAACGCGCGGGCCTGCTGCAACGCTTCTTGAGCATCGCCGACGATCACAGCAAGACGAGCAACGCCGACTCCTCTCATAAAACAAAAATCTCTGCCTTCCTCACCTGGGCAGGAGCCTTGTGGATCTTGCGCACGAAGGCCGAGTTCGAGTTGGGGTCCTTCTTGAGCTTGTGCATCAGCGAGGCGAGTTCCCCGAAAGACACGGAGCCGTTGTTGTCCGTGTCTGCCTCCCTCATGGATTCCTGCACACCCGCAAAAAAAACAAACATGGCACGCGCGACACCAATCGATGTGGAAACATGTGCGCGGGTTTGTGGTACAACCCGTGGGCAGATAATCGAACGGACCGACCGCCTGATCGACGAGTCGACAAGGACAAAGCGACAACACCTCACCACAGCAGTGTCCGATAGCCGGTTCGACGCAACCTACCAAAGGAAGGGCACAGGGGTAAGAAGCTGGCCGTAAACGGAACTAACCGAAAACACGATATATCTATGCATGTAACATCTACTGTTCTCCGGCCAGACGGGGCGGGACGTACTCCGCCTCGTCAACCTCCACGAGCAGCCCAGCCCAACCAAACGAAAAGACCCACCAAAGCGCCTGTTCTTTCTGCAACAACCGAACGGGCCACCAACATATAGTATACAGACTACGCAACATAAATTGGCCGGCCCCTGACCGTGGATACGGCCGTGTAGGCCCAAAGCCACCCAGCCTGCCGACCAGGAGCGGTCAGCCGACCCCAAACCAAACCCAATGAGCAGTGTATCGGACAATCTGGCCCACCTGCAGGTGCTTCTCGGACGGCATTTCCCCCAATTGCCCCAAAAGCGCCCGGAGCTCCTCCATACTGATGTCGCCGCTCTGGTTGGTATCGAAGGTGGCAAACGCCTCCTTAATCTTCGTCTGCAAGCACACGAGAACATTCATTGGAAAAAAGAAGGAGACCAAAAAAAAGGGGCGGTGGGTGGAGACAGCAGCTACTTGATTGTGTTGCAAGCATACGAAAAAGGACGCAGAGGATGGGGTTTTGCTTTATACGTGTGCTCTCGGTGTGTGAAGCCCCGGCAAAATACCACTGCTGCCACTGCCGGGCACGCCACACTCGCACGTTACCCGACGAAAAAATCAACCCGTCGCAATGAAAACAATCAACATCGCGTGAGAGAGAAAGCAACAGAGACACAGGGCAAGAGATACAAGAGAGGCCGGCCTTACGACCTGCAAAAAGGGGGGAAGATTAAGATCGAATCAAACGTAGTGGCCCAGTCCCAACATTCGGCTCGTTCTGCGTAGTCTGCCGGAGTAGAGTTACAATTGGGACAGAGTAGCAGCCGCGAAAACTCCTGCCGAACATTATAAGAGGGTGCATAAGCGACCATCCACGCAATTGCTAGAAGTATGTCGTGGCACGATGGTTGTCGGCGAAGACGCACACACACGACGTTTTGCACTTGGACGCGTGTTGTCGACGATGCGATGCGCACTCACAGCAAGTGCTCCGCCGTTTCGCTTTCAGCACAGCAGTGCATGCATACGTAAAATAAGACAGCACCTACCAGTACTTACGAAGGAGAGGGATTTACTTGTAGACTACCCGACGAGTCAGCAGACATCCAATTCATCGTCAAGTCGTCATAGGAGTGAAAAGAAAGTTCAATGGCCGCAGCCACGAACAAGAACAGACACCCTTTGGTTGCAGAGATTTGCGTATCATGCATAAAACATTCAGACTGGAGGAAACTCTCCGTAAACTCTCTTGCCCGAGAGGGCCAACTCTGAAAACGAGTCACACCGGCAATACAAGCTCTCGCATCCTTTCTCTCGTGCTGCAAGACGGCACATGGGCGTACCAAACCTCCACTGACTAGACCAGCATGCGGCAGGTGTTGCACGGCGATGACGCGTCGATGGTATACTATGAAGTGCTCTTCGTGAATAGCAGCCGTCGAACACAGCAGTCCTCTCATCCAATTCTGCTGGATGTACTACTATCATACTGCTGTGAAAGGCGTGTATCTACGGAAGCAAAATTATGTGCTTGCTGCTGTGTAGAGACATTCGGACACATTCAACGAGGAGCTTTCTCTCCAACTCTTGCTTGCCCCGCACAGCAGAAAAGAAGCCTTGTCATGACTAAGACGCGACCACGACGATTGCACAACGAGAGACCAAGAGGCGAAGGAAGAGCGCAGAACCCAAATGCCCCAACAACAAAGCAGATTCTTCACAGGTGAGTGTTGTGTCACTTGCTGGCTTTGTTGCTTATCCAGCCAGATGCAGCACAACCATCTGTGGCGTTCTCGGGCGACTTTTCGGCTTCTCCCCAAGGGAAAGCAAGGGAGGACAACTGCAATCCATCACAAGCTATCATACATTGAATTAAATTAACTCAAACGCGCCAAGATACAGCAGCACCTCGTTGAGGAGCAACGCGTTTTGCGATTGCGATCAACATGAATTCAAAAAAAGAACAACTCTTGTTGTTTGTTCCAGTTCTGCATATGATGCGGACTGCTGATGAAGCGGCGGCGGTCACATGCGTTTTATTTACGCTGCGGCCTGGCATAGACTAGTCTACACCTCCGCTCTCATCCCCGTCGGGAAATAGGCAAGCGAGCGCGCCGGCCCCAACTCCCTCCCATCGACGCAGGCACGGCGGTGCATCGATGGCCGTGCAGTCAGTGACAGCAAAAGAGGCCACTGCTTTCGGCAACAAGCAACACACAAACCTTGTTAGTGTAGCAGAACGCAGAACCTACCACCAGTCCGGCCGACAAACGCGGTGCGGCGCCGTTAAAAAAAGAGAGTCAAATATGTCATGGAGCACCCGCACACACCGAGTGAGCGCTCTTCGTTGCTGCTGCTGCTTCTCCCGGTCAAGCCAATAAAGGGACAGCCTCCCATCCACGGCCCAAAGGACCACGGAAATGCAGCGGCCAGGGAACGGCACAGCAGCAGGTGCTCCCAGACACACCAGCCCCCCAACCCTCCCCCATCAACGAAAGCGCACCGCGCGATCAAGACATGCTTTGCATAACGCCAAAAATATGTAGCGATTTGACGCACCTTCTCTTGGCCAGAAAACTCATGCTCCAGGGGCGCTGGGAACACGAGCAAGTCCACGAACCGAGACATGGCTCCCTATGGACAGGTTCCTCCGGCCGCCCTGCCTCAGAAAACGAACGGGTCTCTCTCTCTCTCTCTCTCTCTCTCTCTCTCCTCCTTTGCGCACGGCCCCTGCCCACCCCCGCTTGAGGCTGTTTGTTTGGAGATGCCCCCGCTCCCCGCTCTCTCGTGGTAGTTTCCCCGAAATGCTCCACAAACGCACACACGGGCAGGGACTTTGCTTCTCTCTCCAAGTAGCACGGACGGCGCAAGCCACAGCGGATGACTTCCGGAACGTGAGCCAGCGCCGGCTGTACAGCAGGCGGTAGTTGTGTGCAAGGGTGAAGAAACTGAAGCAACTACGCTGCACAATACATCTGCCTGTGCGCACACCCAACCAGGTACAACAACGCGTTTACCTCCAAAATATGGTGGGGGTGTGCTTCTCAGCCGCGCAACCCCTAAATTGCATCGAACATCGCACCGTTGTGTGTTTGAGATTTGGTGAAGATGTATTCTAGACTGTCTGGCGGCGGGAGCGGAAGAGAGAGATGCATGCGATTCCTACAGCCTGGTGGGATGTGACCCATAGATGTGACCCACACACTTTGTGTGCGCCTCTTTTGACCCTGAAGAGCAAACCAAAGAATTATTTCGAGAGGGATGACATAAACATGTCACATGGTAGAGGCAAGATCCGACCAAAGATCCATCGCCCACCACCAACCAACCATCTGAGAGATCCGCAACACTCGCACACCTCGTTGTTGTTGTGTTACCTCCACCTACTCTGGACGTCACAACGCCATGCGCTCTATATGTAGACGTACGACCGCCCGGGGTCGCGCCACAGCGGAAAAGGCCACGGACGAACTGCTTTTTTTTTGTTCCTTCCAGCAGTAAACTACAGTATGTAGTCCTCCTGGAGAACACACATGACAACCATTCACAACCGGTTCCCTTCCCTCACCCGTGACAGATCCTATTTGGGAGAGGCATGTGAGTTTCCCTCTGAAAAGAGACTCAGGCCCTTCTGCCACCGGCAAACAGCGGTACTGTAGGCCAAAAACAATGCCTCTGCTTCGCCACCGCTGTGTAACTGCCGACGTGTGGGGGATTCATCGGTCAATTCACGAAGGAATACAGCAGTGAATGGTTACACGTTGAACGAGAGACTAGGGCAATCTTCCCTTCAAACAGCAGTAGCTACGGGGTGTTGCTGTTGTGCTACCGGCCGTTGCTGTCGAGAGATGCCCCCGGTCTCTCTGCCTTCTCTTGGGCTCGGCCGGACTAGAGCGGTCGCACATCATTGCACTTGACTGGACACCCCTACACCCCCGACACATCATCAGAAGAACGCACCATGCCAATGGCGCAACAAAGGGTTTGACACTTGTGACTAGGTTATCAGCTCCCATCAGCTCGGACCTCACACCCATCACGCACAAACGAAGCCAAAAGGGCCATGGTCGTTCTAGAAGGCTTTGCTGCTGCCGGTGCACAACAAGAAACAAGGGTTCCTTTCCTTTTCACTCCGCACCCGGTTATGCTATGCTATGTTGTGCATCGCACCACCACCAACACAGCACCTCATCAAGTGTACGGTCGTAGATGACTAACTTTCTGCTACTGCTCTGCCTTCCCCTTTCAACACCACTCCGGTAGCGTTCTCTAGTGACCCATCGATCTCAGTTAACACAGATCTCCGATGAGGTATGCATATGCCTGGCAACAAGCCGGCGTCATGTGTACTTGACTCCTCCCATGAAAGATCGGGCATCGGGCACCTGGCCGTTAAACTCCGCCCCAGAGAAGTCGAATCCAGGGTTCTGAGTCAAAAACAACAAGCAAAGGCGAGTCGGGAAAAAGAAATGGAGTGTGCAGCGGCATCGAGCGGTGAGGGTGCGAGGATCGTTAAATACGGGGCACCGGGAAACGGGGGGGGGCCCAGGGCATTCTCGAAGAACCACGGGGCCGCATGGTCAGAGGAGGGTCGCTTCCCCTTGGTTGAGATCTTAAAGCCATAGAAAATTTTCGCGTCTTTACGATATAAGAGTCGCGCTCCGGCGCTCTGTTGAAACTTGCGGCCGGCTGCTCGGGAGCAAGTGATTGCTGTACCAAAACGAACACCAAAGTGTGCTACCAAGGACATCCAGTCAGCAGCAGCATCTATCTGTACGGCAGCAGGATGCGCTTGATCTATGTACACGCACCTCACTCTGAAACCTCTCGAGCATGATCTTCTTCTGCATGCCCTCGAGGGTCATGGGGTCCACCTGCGTATTCCTGCCCTGCAGCGCGGCCGGCCACGTGTCCGCCTTCTTCATCTTCTGCAGGTTCACGTTCAGCTCCCCTCCGTCTGCAGGCGCACGCAGCCACACACGGACGTGAGAACGTGATGCAAGAGCGCGGTGGAGGTGGCCGCCCAGCCGAAGCAGCGGGACCACTCCAGGGTCAAGACACGCAACAGCCATGCGTCCAGCGGGAAAAATTTTGTTGTCCAACCCGCATCGGCAGGGGAGTGATCACTTGATTGCTCCACAACCAAGAGAGTGACATCGAAACCCTACCGACACAGGCAAGGAAAGCTCTCGACAAGATCTTTCCAGAAACACCCTTTTCGGTGCAGGCAGCCTCTTGTGGTTGTGGAACAATCGAGCCCTAAAAAAAACGATCGCGCCTCCTGCTGTGCGTTCGTTCGTCCGGGAAAGGCCGCGGCCGCGTGGCTTGCAGCGGGCTTCACCCCAAACATGAGCACATAACATAACGGTTGGGCATGCAAAGTGTACAAACGGCGGCCAGCACAGCAACAGACGATGCAGAAGCTTCTTCTTCCTCGCTGGCTGCATGCAACTTCTGGCTACGTGTTGGAAGCGCTTTGCGGCGCTATCACCGGCATAAGGTTGCGCACCTCCTGACGGGCACCCGAACGCGCTGACTCACCCATCATCCAGTAGCTCTCTTCCACCACCACAGGCCCGCCTGTGTCTTCCTGCAAATTTACGTCCAACCGAGCCAGTCGTACACATCGCGGCGGTCCGAGAGATTTCGGTTTTCAGAGGAGACAAGGCGCGAGTGGTTGTGCTTTCGGTCAAAGAAGCAGGCAGCTGCTTGAGTGCCAATACCGGCTTAAGAGTGCGGACGAACGCACAGCAGATATGGGATCGATTGTTTTTGAAAGTTCTTTCGCTCCGCAACCACAAGGAGCGAACGATCTTTAAAATATTATCACACCCTCTGTCTGTGTGTTCGCCCGCACATGTGGTACACCATCACGATACACAACATCGAACCGCTTTTCAGGAGGGCTGTAGTATGCATAATCGAGATGATTTTCTCCCTGTACTTGGTGGCTTGCGACTAACAATGTGGCCAGGTGATATCGACACGAATAGGATGTGGGGGGGGTGGGGGGGGTAGGAGTGACGGGGCACCGTCGCTCCGGCAACACATTCTGCGAACGTTACAGAACACTGCATTGTACGGTCAATATCATCTCACGTCAATGAACGGGGGGTTCCCCTTCAATCCCAAGCAGATGTGTCTCGGAGTAATCTTGCACTCGATCCGATCCGCCTTCACTCCTGGCGGGGTCTCTATGTACAGGTTCACCTCTTCCAGGGACTGTTCCCACTCGTACACGGTCCTGCCTGCAAGTGTAGTGACAGGCGGGAGCGGAATTACGTTCATCAATCGCGGGGCTGCTTCCCTGCGAACCAAAAGGCTTCGTCTAGCTAATATACGCTAGGTGCCCCCGATGTAAGTTTCTACTGTGTACAGCACCTTGTTCGCCCAATGCCGAAATACTCCGGCAGTCATTACGCTCTACACCTATGCATAGATAGCACACGAGATGACAACAAGATCCACAGGACTTGCCTCTTTTCACAGCAGGCAGCTCCAAGGTGGTAGCTATTACTACGAGACACACCTCATGGTGTTGGGGAAAGAACAGCAAGGGCACACCTTCGTGCTCGAACTTAATGCGGCCTTCTTTCCCCTTCTTCGACGCTGTCATCATCTTGGGCTGAGGAACAGAAGCCCTGCTTCCTCCTCCCCCTCCTCCAGGCCCTCCCCCGCTGCCGCTGCTATTTCTCCCGCCCCCGCCTGCCGCGGTTGATCCAGACGGCAACGAGCTGCTGCTACTTGCTCCAATGGCCTCCTGCTGTGCAGCCGCGTCTGGTCTCATTGCTGTCGGCTTGGACGAACCGACCACTGCAGCGCCATCATCGTCCGAGTCTGAACCGATGTGGTCGAAGCGAGAGTAGTCCACCATATGGCAGACGGTGAATTTACTTGGCGCAACAACCTAGCTTCAGGCAATCTCGTGTCGTACAAGCGCTCGTCAAGAGAGAGGGTGGCAACAATACAAACCGCCAGGACCTGGATGCTTGTTTTGGACGCCTATCAGCACTCCAAGGAGGCGCCGGAAAGATTGGTAGGAGAACCCAAGGATGTGTTGAAACTGCCCCTCTCTCGACAGCAACCGTAGCACTACATACTGCGGTACCCGTTGGTGGTTAGTCGCTGACACCTGACACCTATTATAAGCACATGCTACGGCACCCCCACCCCCCCCACTTCCCATGCTCCTCACATCCCCTGATGGAAAACGGCACTTCAAGATCAACAAAACCTCGACAAATCGGACCGCAGGATGGATGCATACAATAGTACATGCTCCAGCGGCAGCACGAGGCAGCGTGGTATGACATCCAAGGCGGGCCTCTTCCTGGTGTGCACCACCACCTTAGGTATTAGTGCTTGCCTGTTGTGGTCGCCGGTTTCACCTAGAGATGAAACCCATGAAGGTTTTACGTATTCCGCTGTGATACGTATTTTTTGTCCCGGGCATGCAAGGGTTGCGATCACTACAAATAGGCGGATGTACTCGCTGGGTGGTGCACCCAACGCTCGGAGTTGTCGTGTGCTACAGGTGTATAGAAGCAGAAATATTTGCTTGAGGAGAGAAAACGAAAACGAGACGTACGATCCATCCACAAAAGCACACGTGCTTGGCATGGATATTAATGCTTGCAAGGAACATGCGAGGAACATGTCACCTCTCTCGCTCTCTCTCCCTCCGTCTCTCCCCCCCTCTCTTGTCCCCCTCTCTCTTTACAAAGCAGTGTTTTGTATGCACATCATGGTCGTTTCAAGGATCGATCACGATGCCATTTGTCGAAACGTTTTGGATGCATATAGGAGAGAGAAAGAGAGAGAGAGAGAGAGAGAGAGCGTCTTGGATGCATTAGGAGAGACAAAGGGCGAGATAATGTATAGTGAGCGAGAGTTTGGTGGCCTGGCCGCTCCGGCTGCTGCAATAGCGCTGAGCTCCCATCCTATCTATCCGTTCGCAGCTACCCACTTCGCAGCAGCCTGGCAGCACGCCCCCTGCGGCTCGACGACGCCTGGCGCGAAAATGCTACCCTCCGCTACTGCTGCCGTACCTGGGCGATCCTGTAGGACCGCATTGCAAGCAGTGGCGAGCGGGGGCGGTGCCAAGTCGTTGACGGAGACGATGGCTGATGCGCTGGCCGAAGCCTTGGGGGTGGGTACCGCTGGCGCGGAGCAGAGGTTCAAGATCGGAGGGGGTGGGTACGGCGGCGGCGGAGGGGCTTCGGTGGGCACGATCGACGACCTCGAAACGGGCGACAAGGTGGGGCCGTCGGACGGCAGCAGCGTCTTTTTCCGGGACGTGTTCGCCTTCACTCCCAAAAGGAGTGCGCTGCAAGACTTCTTGTGAACCAGACAAGTCTACGGGTGTCTTGCAGCAGTAGGTTGTTTGTATAGTCCACTATTTACTCTGTCGAGGATACCGATGTTTCGACGGGCGCGAATCGACCATGGTAGTCTTGGCGTTCGCGGCGGCGGTGCGGGGCGGTTTCTGTTTGGGATCCGTGTGATGGGGGGGACAAGTTTTACCTGTGCAGAACCCCTTGTCTGAACTAGATGGACCCGAAGAGTTAGTTTTGAAGACAAGGCCGTGCACGACCCCCCATCCGCACACTGTCAGCCCGTATTTGCGGCCATCGGCAGAAGACGACCCTTGTGGGTCTCCTGGTGCCACCTCCCTGGACCCAAGCGCAACAGCTTCAACATCGTGTTGTCAATCGCGCCACCGGGCGGCAAACACTCAAGACTTGTCTTTCAACCGCTAAGTACTCCCTTCCCCCGCCTCGCCAGTCATTGCATCCCCCCCCGCGCCTCTTACTACCCCCCCTTCCCGTACCATTTGTTTTCCCTTTTGTTAACGCTATTTTTGTATACAATGTACGAGAAGTACTTCTACAAGAAGGCGGGGCCCTCCGGTGCCAGCATGCTGGAGGCTGAGCGAGCAGGTCTTCAGGCCATGTACGAAGCCAAGGCGATCCGCGTGCCCCGGCCGATATGCGGCGGAGACAGGCCAGGGGGTACGCTGGTCTTGCGTTGGTGTCCCTGCCGTATGTAGCCATTTGCCAGGTTGATTTCTGCGGCTTTTTGTCGTGGTGTTTTTTTGTGGCGTACTTGGGGGTGCGTTTTGTCTTGAAGCGCGCGCCCGCTTGCTGCTTCGAATGTCCCATGAGGTAGCTACGGCGCGAACACGCCAAACCCACGACCTGCTGTAGCGGATACGTAGCAGGAATGTGGATACAATCGGAGCCAATACCACGGCGCCGCGAGGCTACAACCAATCGACACAACCAGCAGCGGACATTGCCGCACCCGCATCAAGAACTATTGCAAAACGATTCTGCGCGAGCCCGTTGGTACGAAATAGTCCATCTAATTTAGCTTTGCAGCCTTTCAAAATAACAAATAACTCCCAACCTCCCCCCCCCAAAAAAGAAAAAAACGCTGCTTCCCTTGACGCCCCCCCTCCCCCCCATCCACGGATAGTTGGAGTATTCGAGAAGGAAGGTAGGATAAGTGAGGGCCAAGAAGGTTTCCGAAAGAAGAGAGGGTTCGTAGACCACGCATTTACGGTAGGGAGAATCGTCCAAGGTAGAAGAGGGCGGGAAGCCAACGTAGTGCTTCTTCTTGGATGTACAAAAGGCATACGATACAGTATGGAGAAATGGGCTGTTGAAACAATTGTCCAAGTATGAGATGAAGGGGAAAATGTGGAGAGTGCTGAAGAAGATGACAGAGTGTATGAAGAGCGCTGTCATGCTAGACGGAGAACTTTCTAAATTCTTCAACTTTGAGCAGGGGGTCCCACAAGCTTGCACGCTGTCCCCAACATCGTTCCACGATAAAGACGATAATTTCAAATGGGAATGCGGCTCCGAGTGCGAAGACCAGGTTCACGTAGTTGCGGAATGTCCGTTGTAGGAGAGGGAAATAAGTGTACATGACAGCTGGGAAAATTAGGAGGAAGATACAGGGAGATGTTTGAGGCATGGAATAGCCAGGAGAAGACGGTAGCTGTACTGGGGCGTAGGAAGTGGGTTGAAAAGGCGGGAAGTGATATCGAGAGGATAGATAGGCTAGGGAAGACATTTTTGAGCCACCTTCGGCAAAGTTGGAAGGAATGATTGGCCATCGGTGATCGGTCCTGTGGAAACAATGTTTCGTCCTCCACGCGTGGTCAATGGTCTATCCGCTAAGGCATGCAAAACATTAGAGTACCCCCCCCCCCCCCCTCCCTCCACGCCTGATAGGCTGCTTCGCAATCTTCGAGCACCTGAACATGGGTGGTAGGGCTTCCTCGGAGAGAGCGGAGCTCATGGGCGCGCAGCTGGCGCAGATGCACCGCAGCCTCAGTCCGAACGGCAAGTACGGCTTCCACGTGGACAACACAATCGGAGGTGCGTAGTTTGGTTTCTCTGTCCGACATCCCATCTTCTTGCTGCTGCTGCTGCTGCTGCTGCCGCCGTCGCTCGATGTGCCTATACGTATAGAACCGACACTCAACGATTTGCTGCCACATCCGGCAACGGGTGACTCGCAAGGATCTGTCCTCCTTTGCCCAAGGCTCTAGAATTCGTCTCTTCTTTGTAGTGCTTGCCTTGGAACTTTTGGAGCGAGAGAGGAGTCAGCAAAGCACTCTCCTTGCTTCCTTCCTTCAAGGCCACTCACGAAACACACCGTCAGGGGTCAGAAAAGCACACCCCGCCAGTCTTATCGGGGTCCGAACTCATGTCCCAACCAGTCGTCCAGAAAAAAAGGTGCTACCGAAACGTATCAGTATATGCTGAACGACAGCAGTGGGGTGGCTATGGCTATGGAGGACTCGTCTATGCCTGTTAAGGGAGCTGGTTTCTGCAACAACAGCCCTGCCAAAAAGATTTCGAGATCCACACAGCAGTGACACAAGGCAGAAAGGCAGCAGCGCGCATCATAGGACGGGCGAGGGCTCGAATTTTTTTCCGACCGGCGCGGGGGGACTTCCTACAACGAAGCGTGTACGTAACTGTACTACCTTGATGCGAAGCGCTTGGTGTGGGTGCCCTTTAAGAGGCTTCCGCATGTTGTGCAAGGCCTACAGTAGCGCGTGCGTGAGTAACTGTCGGCCCGCACCGTGATATCGACCCTGGTGGAGGTCACTGGCCGCCGGCGACTTCCCTAGGCACAACAGGCCTTGTAGGGGTTGTCCCGCGCACACGGGTGTTCGTTGTTCTTGCCTTTTCTGCGTGTGTTTGCTCCTCCCACCCTGCCTCTCCTCTGACGAAGGTATCACGGCGAGAGATTCGATTTCGATTGAAAATTGATGACAGCGGCTCCAAATTTTGTCGGTCGTTGGGGATATTTTGTCCGTCTCGGAACGCCGTACTCTTGCTTTGCTGCCCCCCACCGATGCACACCTCAGGGCCGTGGTCATGCATGATAACGAGTACCCCCGCCCACCTCCGCACTTACTCAGCAGCGCTTTACTTGCTCTTTCCCGCCGAGATTGGCGCCTTTTGATGGGTCCACCAGTTTACGCGGTCGATGCTACCTCACTTAAAATCGCTCACCCCCCCACACGGAACCACGTTTCATCTCAGCTACCGCGCAGCCGAACGGCTGGATGGATTCTTGGGCAGACTTTTGGGTGGAGAGGAGGCTTCTCCACATGATCCGTCTGAGCGAGCGGGAAGGGGGCGTTTTTCAGAACGTGGACAAGGTCGTCGAAAAGGTAGGTCGTGGTTGAATGCGAGTGTAGGTGGTAGGGGTGAAGGTGTGCGCACGTGGGAGGGGCGGGGGGCACGGGGTTGTAGGGGGGCGGGGAGGGAGGATGTGGGCGAGGGGCGTCTTGGGCTGGTACTTGTTTCGCTTTCTTGTGAACATAGGTTAAAGTCGTGGATTCGGAAGGGCCTGAGCTCGAAGCAGGGTTATACGTCGGAAGAGTAGCTGTTTTCTCTTCCAGCAGAAAAGGCGTTTCGATCGTCACACTCGGCCAGTCGTAAATGTATCCAGTGCAATGTCGGCAACAGCCCTACGTTGTTGGTCTGTTGTATCATAGAATGGCACGACGGGGCTGTACAAGCACACGGTCGTACACCGTGCGTTAAAGCGGTGTGACAGTGAGGATGCGCCGACTAAGACACATGCGCACGTTGTTGGACGAATCGCTTTGGCGGCCATCATTTCGAGTTATGTTTGCTAAGATAGTGGATATGCGGTACACCTTATCACTTAGCCGTCCCGTGCCTCGTGCCGAATGAGATGGCGTCTGGGCACGACCTCGTTGCTAAGATCCCGCAGCCAATGAGAACAAACTAAATACGTTCCCCGTTCGTGCTGCTGCAAGCTGGTTTGACGCATGAGCTTGGAGACGCGTATCGCGGGCACAGGTGAACGACAGCCAATGTCTGGAGTACAGCGGTGTCTGTCCCGCTCGCCGTCTGTGCTGGCTGACTCTAAATAGCTCCCTCCTCCGTGACAAACGGTGGTTATGTCTCGAACGGGTAGTCTTTTCTCTTTGATGGTCAGTTCTACGCAACACGAAAAGGGTCTAGGTCAACTGTAAAAACAAGCCAGTATCCAGCTACAAGAACAATAGCTCTTGACAGGCGTTTCCCTTCCGCCCGCCCGCCCCCCCGCTATCCTTGCACGCTCGCCCCGATCGCTTTCAGACGAGGTCCATCTTGGCGAAGCACGAGGTGCAGCCGTGTCTGGTTCATGGGGACCTGTGGGGAGGCAACCAAGGGTTTGTGGCACCGGAAAGCGATCCGGTAATTTCACGCTTCGGTTTCAAGGAGAAAGCGCGGCAGTTTGTAGTTGTTGTTGTTGTCAAGGTGCCAACAGCGACGGCCACTATTTTGCCGATCTCGGGGAGGTTTTGGTGATTTGATGCTTCGATATTCAAGAGGAAGCGCAACTGTTGTTGTTGTTGCGCCAAGGTGCCAACAGCAACGGCCACGTATGCAAAATTGCCAGCCTTGTGGCAATGGTAATGGCGCTGTAATTATAGTTTTTATGGCCAGGGACTGTAAAGTTTCTGTTGAACAGCACTCTTATTTATCGGGTCAACGATGGCTGCATCGCAACGCACTTGCAACCATCGCAAACCCGATGACAGTGTTGCTGTCCAACAGAAAATTTATAGTCCCCCGGCCAAAAAACTACGATTACACCGCCATCACCACCGCCTCGAGGCTGGCAGACATACATCACACGTGACTGTTCCTGTTGCTACCTTGACAACAGGTAGCCCTCCTAGACACCGGGTGTATATATCTTTGCTGAGTGTCCCTCGAACACTGCCGCATGGTGCGACAACTTACATCCATCGTTCCTTTCCGCGCTCAGGTAATATTTGACCCGGCGACCTACTACGGGGATCGAGAAGTGGACCTCGGGATGACCCATGTGTTCGGCGGGTTTCCACCTGCGTTTTATCGAGGGTGAGCGTTGTCGTTGTAGGACAACCCAGTTAGTTTTGCTGGGTACGGTAAGAACGGTCTCCCACATGTTGTTGTTGTTGTTGTTGTCTTCACATTAAAATCCGTTCCGTTCTCTCTGCCCAGTACCTTCTTATGTCGGTACTAGTCTAACACTTGACGGGGTCGATTCCCGTGGTCACAGGCTAACATACCCAAAAAAGGTATACGAAAATAAAATGGACCCGAAGGGTCCGCAAGCCAATAAAAGTCAACGACAGATAGTCTAGGCCACTCCGCTCGCCTCTACACGCTATGCGAGGTAACCCTAGATTGGAAAAAGAAAGAAAAAAGACAAGACAAAGGCGAAATATAAGAATAAGAAAAAGAGAAAGTAGAGAGCAGATGGAGAGAAGGGAGAGAGAAGGAGAAAGGCACAGACAGAGAAAGGCACACGCCGTAGCGACAAACAACAAACAAACAAACAGAACAACTGAAGACAACACAAAACAACACCACACAAATCGGCCCACCCGACCCAGAAAATGCACGTCATCGCTCGCGGGGGGTGGGTGCAATGGTGCAGTGCCGGGGGGGGGGGGGGGTGTACTCATAGTCGTGCATGCCGTAGTCGTTTGACCATTGACCTCGCATCCCTACTAAGCCGGGACGGAGCACGCCGGGTTCTCACCGGACCAGGCTCTCACATCACCAAGCGCGAAACGCCGTGAGGTATTTGGCGAGTCGCATGAAGGGTGAGCTGAATCCTGCTAAGGGTGTTCGGCATCTTGTGCTTACTTCCTTGCGTACGGATGACAGCTACGTATGACTTAATTTATTTTCTGGTGCTTTCACTTCCAGAGACAGTTGTAAGCACTGTGTAACTGCCTCGAGGAAGCTTGACCATTTTAACACAACGTGGTGCGATCATCCCCCGTTGCGCGGAGAGAGGTTTCTCGACCCCGCACATCATGATCTACTCGACCACCATTACGGTTACCGCCAAAAAATAAAACAAGGAAAAAAAAAAAAACGGTAACCTGGTTGCCGAGTTCACGAAGTGAATTGGCTTGTTTTACAACGTCGTTGCCAAGCGACGAAAACCCAATCCCGATGGCAAACACCGAGTGGGGGGGCTTGTTTTACAACGTCGTTGCCAAGCGACGAAAACCCAAACCCCGATGGCAAACACCGGGGGGGGGCGGGGGGGGGGTAAGTCAAGCAAGGAGTTCAATTCGGCACACACAGTGTTTCGCGCCACTCGGTCCGCCTCTTCGCGTTTCCTGCCTTTCTCGCCGTCTCGTCCGCCTGCTGTACCCTACTTGAGCATACCACATTGTTTCATGTATACCACTCTTTTCCTCCCGCCCTTGTGCGTTGCATTTTGAATGCACCCACGACGATGTTGCATTTCAATGCTGTCGGGGAGATAAATCTGTCTCGGAAGATTGAGATTTTTCTGAGCCCGTCGAATCCAATATATTGATCGGCGATATTATTTGTTTTTTTCATCGCTCTTCTTGGTGCTTTTCGGAGGAGACGTTGCGGAGATCGGAAAGTCGACCCCAAGGCATGTTCGTTGAATGCATGCACTTCTCGTGCCTGTATTTTGTCGAGGCCGACACGAACACCAACCAACCGAGAACCGAACGTCGGAGTACACGGGCAAAAGATAAAAATGCAAGACGACGCCGGGGACCAATCGGTGTTAGGCTGCCGGCTGAATGGCGATGACGACGGTGTAGAGGTCGTCGATGATTGATTGTGGTGACAAAGACGATGAGTGTGCTAACGATTGATTGTGGTGACAAAGACGATGAGTGTGCTAACGATTGATTGTGGTGACAAAGACGATGAGTGTGCTAACGATGATGATGGTGTTTTCGGACGGCGGTGGGCGTTACCTTCGCCATGCCATGCCATCTATCCATCTATCCATACACACGCAGGTACGAGAAGGAGTGGCCGTTGCCAGAGGGCCACCAGGAGAGGCAGGTGGTGTACAACGTCTACCACATCTTGAACCACCACGTCTTGTTTGGCGGGGGGTACCTTGGCCAGGCGCAGAGGATGATGGGCCAGATACTCAACATGTAGCAAACAGAGGAAGAGAGGATGGAAAGGTTGAGAGATTGAAGTAGTATGAAACGAACACTGCTGTTATAGAGCCGGGGAAGAGAAGAAAACGGTGGCCTTTTTCTCACGGCCTTGGGGAGTTTGTTGTTTTGAGTTGGCGGCACACGCGCACGTATTTCCCCCTGCATTTTTGTGAGTATGCTGTTTGTAATATATTGTAGCTATAATAGCTGCAGTTGGCCCGTTGGGAGGGGGCGGATTGTTTACTGCGGCGCGGGGGCGAGCGCTCTCATCCCTGCCAGGGTTGTGTGCCCATCCACCTGCGCCATCATCGGCGATGCGTGCATCCCTCGTTCCTTTTCAGACGGAGCGAAACATCACCGTCCTTACGCTCACAGCCCCCTTCCTACCGGCGTTCTTTCTGCCTTTGCCGTTTTTGCACAAGAACTTGTTGTTCTTCTTACGCCCTTGTCCTGGTATGGGCGGGGGGGGGGGGCGTACTCTTATGTTTTGCATGCCTGAGCGGTTAGACCATTGACCACGCGTCCTCGAGAGGACGGAGCAAGTTACGCATTCAGATCTGTCTAAATGAAACATTGAACATGCCTGCTGTGCTACAGTAGGGAGAGGTTATGCGGCGCCCCTAGAGAGTTTCGTTTATGGAGTAGGCGTTCGTTGATGAGGCACTACTCGTAGTTCGTGGAGTGTCGTTCGTGTTTCTTTTTGTGCAAAGGGGAAGAGGCTGCATGTACATAACGATCCGTGACTGTGTCTTGTCGACTCGCCACGGGGCGTGCGTAGAAGCTGTGCAGCTAGCTCGTTGTGGGCTACCCTCTGCGCCACTGCACGGTCCTTTTGGGTGGGGTGGTCGATACAACCAGTTTTTTTGTGTGAAAAAAAAAGAGTGGTACATTGTACGGTCTCTGCTCTTGAAAGTCAAGTTAAGTCATCATGGTCCAACACATAAAAAACACAAAACAAAGAAACCTATGCATATAACACATACCTACGTCGTAGACAAGTATGAGGGTGGTGGTAGTTTTCCTTCGGCGTGCTTGCCGTTTGTATGAATCCTCGAGGGAGCATTTTTTGTGTGGTGTGCTGCCTGCGATATCGGCCGAGGGTCTTCGTTTCAATGGATTGGCGCCCCTCGAGAGAGAGGAAGTCGGGGGGGATTGACTAGCTTCAGCCCCGTCACAGCATCAGAGTGCCAGGTAAAACAATAGTCAACGCCGCACAAGGTCTTCGGAGCACATTCCGCACAGCACATCATTGCTTGTACCCCTCGGGTCATCAGCATGACTTCCTGGATTGTTGAAACCGACGAAAGAAATGTAATTCCTTCTCGAGAGTCAACACGGTCATTGCAGTACTCCGAAAACAGACGGATGGCACTCAAGCCATGCCGAAGGTTTGCCCACCTTGATATGGTGCAGTGCCCATGAACATAATTTAGTCCCCCGCTCGCACGTGCATATATATTGCACCAGTAGCCAAAGGCAGTCCACCTGCCACTCAATCGTCTCACGACAAGAGAAAAACGCAAGCGCACCACTAATTTGAACCGCATCAACCTTGTGATATTTCCTTTCCAATTGAAAGGTACTGGTATCGCGTACGAAGGTACAACAACAGCAGAGAAGCAAACGCCGTATGCAACAAACCCGAAAGATGTTGCGATTAAATTGTTGCAGGGAGTGGCGCGCCAGCTGGACGACTCCCTACTTATTTGGCTCTGCCCCCTTGCAAATGAATGTACCGACTAGATACCGCCCGAACGCAACGCAAGACGGCCCCAAAACACACGCTCAACCATGAACACAACAGAATGCGAGACACCCGAAAGCACAACTGCTGTCCCTTGCCACACACACTCTCCACGCAAAAGCCATGTCTCGGAAACAAGAAAATGCCGAGTCTTTTAGACTCCCCACAAGTGGTTCATGTTTCCCAATCATACTCACGGTGCGCTCATACGCTGAAACACAGGTAACATAAAAAAATCGCGCGCCAAGGAGGAGCAGCCTGCCTGTACTAACGATACAGCTCTACACCGAGGTCACGAATGTTATGTGCCCATGAAATGACTACTTGTACTTTTATACCCTACTACCCCTCCCTTACCAGCCCCCAGAGCGAAGCCCCCGCTCGCTGGGCCGGGTCGATCGGTTGGCCTCACCGCCATCACTGCTTGCAACGTCGAATCTGTATCCCTTCTACCCAAGCGTCGAACATATTCGTTGGCCTGGTTATCCCGCACCCCGATCCACACGCTCTTGGTACCGCATACCTCGTTCTTCGCTGCTTCATTCCCCCAGTGATAACGCCTCTTTGTCGAGCCCGCCTCCCCCCCCCCCCCCCGCCAACTACCGGGGCCACCGCAAAATACGCATACAATACACGCAAAAAAAAAAACAGAGATCGTCGATGCCGCCTCGACTTCCATGAAAGATTTTCACTTCCAGGAGGACAAAACGCACCACCTACAATACGGCAACAAGGGGAGGGCGAGTGTGGGCTTTACTCCTCCCTTACTCCGCGCCGTATCAAGCATGGGCTGGCTGGCAAGCGTCGCTCAGGTTCTGCCGCCCTCCTGCTCCCTCTCCTGTGGTAACTACCATACAAGTTATCTACGTACTCGCCTTATTTTTTCGTGGTAATTTTTGTACAACCCCAAAGGAGGCGTGGTCGGTGCCCCGTCAGCTCGCCTACAAATTTCCGCTCCCCAGGGGGTTGCTGTTTTTCTTCGTTCCCTCACCTGACTTCATCTATACCACCACTACTCGCCCTCCCCCCCCCCCCCCGACCTGCCCTCTCTGCTCTCTCACCTCTCGTCACCCCCCATCCCCCGTGAGACAAGCACAGGCAACTATCATGGACGAAACTGTCCATCGCCTCAAATCTGAACGCTCCCTCTCGCAACTGGTGTAGCTAGCGTGAACCTGCTTCTCTCCCCCCACCCCCCATCAATCAGGCCCTTTTTCCTTCGCTACTGCTCCGAAAAGACGTCGAGCGTAAAACTCTTAATGGTTGGGTATCAAAGCTTTGCCGGGATGCTAGTGCCAGCTGCGATAAGACACTGCCTAAGTAGCAACATGCCATGATCCACCAACTCTTCCATAAGTCCTCCCGTGCTTCCAGAGAGCACATGTACGTCGCCGCAAATGTACGTACGTGTGCGTAAACGGCCTCGACACAAATTAGACAAACACTGGCTCTGCATACCAGAATAAATCCTTAAATCAATCGCGACGACCAGCAACAACTTTGTTCGTTTGCGCGCGAGACATAATAATCAAGACGCTTACACGAGGAGCGTTCCAAAAAAGCAGGTAGTCCACAGCGCTCCGGTACAGCAAAGAGCACCATGACCGATGTGCGCGCCACCAATACCACATGCCGAAAACAACACATGGCGGAGGGCGAACGGGGGGAGGCAGCAGCAGCAGCGCACCCGCTCTAACTCGATCATCGACCCCCGCTCATCTCTCCCTCCCACTCTCGAACAACAACCAAAACAAGCTCCAGAAGACAAGCAAGCGCTCCTCACATACCCCCAAGGTATCGAGTATCCTATGATACTCCTGCCCAAGTCAAAAATACATAAAAGGTGACAAAACGACAACGAAACACATCAGCGAAGGGCCCCCGCACACACACGATTCCATGTCCACGACACACGGTCGCCGCTTCAGGGCACCCAGGCGAACTTCTTGTTGAACGGCGCCTTGCCGTGAGTGGCGGGCAGAGTCCGAGGGAACGACGGCAGCGCGCCAACCCTCCCACCCCCGCCGCCCCCGCCGCTACCAGCGACGCCGCCTTGGTCCTCGTCCTCGACAAATGAAGAGTCGGTATCGCTATCGCTGTCGTCCACGATGCGTTGCTTCGAGACGGCGAACTCGGCGCCATGCCTGCTGTGGCAGCTGCTGCTGCCGCTGGCTCCTGTAGGCGGGTGTGAGCTGACGGGTTCGGCGGCGCTGTTGTGCGTCTTGGGCGTTGTGTCCGATTCCCTCACCATCACTGGCGGGTTGGGAATCCAGGTCGACCTGCGCGTGCATTATTATTATTATTATTCATCACGGACGTATTATTTTTTTGCTCGTTAGTCGCCGATTGTTGTAACGTCGGCGTCGGGTTTTGCGCCAAAGGAGCCGCATGTGTGCATGAGAGGACAAAACAGGCTCAGCGGTTACGTCGGTACTGAATCTCCTATACATAGTCTATACTCCCAAGTAAGGGGGCGATGTTTGGGTGGCAAAGGGTGTGCAGACAGACTACTGAAGGGGGCTGGCAGCGATCAAGTGAAGTGGAAAAGAGTCACGAAACCCTTGACTGCTTCCAATCAGACACAACTTCCCCGCGCACGCATCCAGTCTTGCATGTAGGGTAGAGGGCAAGTGCTCTCAACGGACCGCGGACACCATATGACTGTTAACGGCAGACCTTCAACCAGAGTGAGTGAGTGCACTCGTGAACTCCTCATGTCGTGCTAAGGAGCGCCAGGCGGTGTTGTGGCAAAATCGTCGACAAAATTATCAGTTACCGGCAATAGAACGCCGTCTCCATGACGCGTTGGGAAAAGCTCAGCTACGGCTGTGTCCGGGCACTAATCCACAGCAGAACATTGTTATGCAAGAAGCCTACCGCGACAGCAGTAACACACAGTATGCGTATCTGGGTTGTTTTCGCTGACGGCGATCAGTGATTTCCTTGACACTTCTTTTTCGCGACAAATTTTGAACGGCATGCACCACAGGGGAACAACCCCTGGCACCACAATGTATCCAAGAGAAGAATACACGCTGCTGCACCCCGCGCGCGGAGGATTGAAGAAATGGAGAGCCAACGAGCCTCTGCAGAATTCTAAAGTTTGTTACGTTGTGGCCCGTGCTTCATCTCGAGATCTAGAGGCAACTGGCTCTTTGAAAATAGATGTTCATGGCTGTGGCAGTGTAGAAGTGGATCACAAAGCAACTCTGTTGAAAAAAACAGGCTATCCTTTGTTGGCGCAAGTAACACGACGGCGGTACGCAAAAAATATCAAGGCTTTTTTCGCCGCTCTGCTGTCTCACCCTCCTCGCAGCCGGCTCGCCGCCGAGGTCCCGGCACGGTCTTTATTCCGCAGGGTCGCCGTCGTGGCCGCTTTTTCCCTGGCGCAGCCGCTGCGGATGCCCACCGACACGAAGCTCGGCCGCTCGGGTGTTGCTGCTGCCTCCTCGGTAACAACGTTGCTACCACTGCTGCTGCTGCTGTCGCCGCTGACGATCTTGGAACCCCCCTCGTTGACGATGAAACCAGCTGGGAGGAGACAACGAAGACCACGCGATAGGGAGGGGGGGGGGGGGGGGTTGTAAATAGACGACCGACGCAGACGCAGACGCCAGCACCACCCAGCAGCAACAACCCGAATATGAAGTCAAGAGGCAACTGCGGTAGGGTTTTTGTTGGAACACGCTCCTGTTGCGCGCGATCGTACCCTACGGAAGTAAGCGGCCACCCGCGACGAGAGGAGGCGCACTGGTGGTGGGGTACAGCCAAAGGCATTTAGGAAACGAACGGTACTTCTTGCTATATTCTCACAAGCTGTGCCGTTTGCTGCTGCTTCTGACTGGCGTTGGGGTCTGTTCTCGAAAAAAAAAGTTTATCGATGGCACGTTCAAGACACAAAAGGCAAGGCGAAAAAAGAAAAAAGCAAGGGCAAGTAATCGTTCCATTTCCCGTGTGCCCATGGTGTGATACTTTTGCAGTCACCGACGTATCCACACCTACTGGCTCGACATATCAGCATCACCGGCCCGCTGTTGTGCATCAGAGGTGACAAGGACTACCAGTTGCGCTGCCCTGCTGCAGTGCGGACGGGGGCGCCCCACGGTCAGCGGTCAGCGGACTTCTTCGCAGGGTCACGAGCGCCGAGCTTGTTGAAGATAAAACGCAACTACGGTACATTTTTCAACATAAAATTTCAACATAAAATATGTTGGAGACTAATGCCGTACGCGCTCGCGCGAAATCACGAACGCGGAGTATCCACTCACCGCGTTGGACCGGGGCCGGACGGGCTAGCAGAGGCGCGCTTCCATCCACAGATGCTAGCAGGCAAAGGCATGCAACTACCAGGTGTTGCTTCATCTCTCAGCCAGCAGAAATGGAGCCCACGAAAAATTAGCTGAATGAAGTGGCTCTTCCAGAACTTTTGTTCGGCAACCCTCAAACGTTCTTCCAAGCGCGTTAGGTTGTCAGAATCAGAGCTACCCGCTGCTCTTCGCTCTCTGTACTAGGGCGTGGGGGATCGCTGGGAGTGCAAACACGGAGAGGTGTTGCTGACTGGGCGTTTCTGCGTGGGTATCGGAAATCAATTTGCCTTCCGCGACAGGGGCTCCGCGGAATATTCCCCCGGAATGCCTAGTAGTGGTCGGTCCAAGAAAAAAAAAAGGACGTAACACCGGGCGCAGAATTCCTCTTCGGTGCCTGAGTGAAGTTTCGTCTTGATATCATCGATGTTCGATGCAGCTAGCTGTGGAGCTGTGGAGCTGTGGTACTCTTGCCAGCTGTTGTCGTGTTGCCTCTTCGGAAAAAGTCATTGGTCCAACATGGGTTTGTTTCGCTGGGAAGGTTTTGCAACAGAGCCGAGAGAATCTATCTGTACACACCACGCAGCAGCAGGCTACCCACACTTCTTCTTGAGGGACGGACGCGGAATGCTCCATTGAATTATTTCACTGTCTGAAATAATTGCCCTTCCTACAAGTACATTTATTCAATTCATTCGTCGTCCACCGGAAAAGAGACGATGAATGATCCCAAACAAGGAGCGACCCCCCTTCCCTTTCTACCACATCACTGCCTGCCAGGTGTAACTGAGTTCGGGGCTTCACGGCTCCTTAGGAAAAAACTCAAAATCACCTCAGCAGCATACGCCCGTAGATTTGTAGTAGAGTGGAATTCCCTCCCCACCGCCACACGCAACGCTGCGTCAATCCATTCCTTCCGACAGCAGCATCAGCTCTGTCTCGTGTACCAACAACCAGCACATACGCAAATACATCCGCATGCAAATACTATACGAAAAACAATGGGTGGCCATGCCTACAATATATATTTGTACCGGCGTCCGACTTCGCCTCTGGAGCCTATGTAACATGGTGGCAAACAGACCAGAGGCGCCGGGCCACAAAAACAACCACACTATAACACTGCTGTAACTACGACTATTGTGAAAACGTTCGAGGTGGGCCAACTACACTGCCCAAGGAACCGAACAAAAAAGCAGGCCCCTCTCCCCATTCATTGTAAAGACTTCCTTCATTTAACACATCCCTTCTACTACTGGGGAATTATCTCCAACGGGTACAAGATCAGATAGTCTTTTCAGTTATTGCATTGAAACCAATAACGGAGCAAATGGATTAACTCCAACACTCACGACCAGTAAACACGCTTCGCACATGTACCACGATCGTCTCCGCTCCGCGTAGAGTAACGAATATCAACTGCCTGCTCATTGGCAATAAAACACCGAGAGTCGAACAGAGAGTGTACATAAAATACTGCCTTCCATCCCCAGCACTTGATGACTAAGGCCAGCAATGCACGACTTAACCCCCTTCCCTCCCTCCGCGTAAGTTTCCATGGCTACAACCCCCCCCCCCCCCCCCCCCC